TAATCTGACGGGCAGTGTGGATTTTATTAGGCAATGCAGCCATAGAAACTCCTGAATCAAGAGAGACAGCAGTCTGAGTTTTCAAAGCGGCCACTGTGAATTAGAGCCATAATTGTCAGTATGTTCTTCACAGACCAGAAGCATCACCATCCACAGGAAATCAAGAGACCTAAAACTCCCAGCTCTAGGCCAGTGCCCCCTAGTCAGAAACTGGGAGTACAGCCCAGCTCCAGCTCCCCACCCCTAACCCCAGGTGATTCTGACAACAGGCCAAGACTCCAGGGCAGAATGTCACTGTGGGTTATCCAGAGAACTAAAAGGAAGCAGAGGAAAGCAAAAGAGAATTCTAAATCTACTGAAGCAGAGGTGGATGGGAACATCGCGAGTAAATGCTAGCAACTGATACTCTGTCCCTTTGTGGATGAGTTCACCTAAACAAAGATAAAAGTTAAAATGGGTCAATTTTAAGATGAGGAAATAAATGCTTGCAAAATAGGAATAAATGATAAAACTGTCACTTTTCAAAATGCTATATTGCAAAGATCTGATCGAACCTTCATAGTAAGAGGTCACGTGGAATTCTCCTCTCTGGAAACTGGAATTTTGTTCAACCAGTAATTGAACAGGGAGTAAACGGGTACTTCAGTTAAATGACCAGAAGTGGCCAAAGAAGATGGAAGTTCTTGCCAAACCAGAAACTTGGCATCTGCTTTCAGGACACTTTTCCACATTAGGCAGGTGGTTATAACCACAGATATCTTTTGTACCTAAATCTTTCTTCAGCTTGACTGACCACTTCATTTTATACCCCACAAATTATAGCTTTGAGGTAAGTTTTTTAACTTTAAAACTTTGAGTGGTAATTTTTTTCCAAGAAGATGAAAATGTTCAGATTTGGTGTTTCTGAGTCTAGTCTGAAGTCCTTCTATTACTAACAATTATTTGCCCTGGTTTTTAAATTTTTGTATCAACTAAAAATTTGATGTTGATACATAAAAGTTGGTCCTGTTTTGTACTCTATGTTTTTTGTATGTAGGAACAAACTTTTGTGTGCTAGACAAGCGTTCTTCCATTGCACTGTACCCCTGGTCCTACTTTGTTTTATAGCCTTTTGTATTAGAGAGCTTCACATTACTACAATGAAATGCCTGAGTCAATTAAATCTTTAAAAGGAAAAGGTTGGTTGGGCTCACAGTTCTCAAAGTTCAAGGCATAGCTGAAACGACCATGTGCTTCAGCCTCTGTTGAAGGTAGCACATCATGACGGGACACGAGGAAAAGCAAGTGGTCAGAGCTTGACTGCATCAGAGACTGAAGAAAGAGGATGAGGGGCATTCAACAATCACTTTTGAGGCCATCGGTGCTTATGAACTAAAGACCCCACTTCCCATGGACACCCCCCAGGGACGCAATCCTAGACCAAGCTTTCAGTCATGGCTGTTTGAGGTACAATCAGTCAACATGTGAGCCATGGCACTTCTGCCCCCAAGTACAATGCTAACTAATTAAAACAGAAAATGGTCCTCAATGACAAAACCATGCAAGTTTATTTGCTTTCTGTTTCATGATGTATATACAACATTTAGTTCTAGAGAGTCCTTTGTGGAGTAAATAGGGTAGAAATATCTTTGCATAAAGGCAGGTAACAGTCACTATATTCAGTCAGACACTTACTCCAGGAACAGACAGCTACAAGATTTTTTTATGGAAATTTTAATCAGTAAATTGAAAACGTATACTTGTAGACATATTTTATATGGAAATATCCAACTTTGCCAAAATTTTCACAAGCAATGGTACACAAGTTAACTCCAAATGCATTAGAGACATTTTGAAGAACTAAGTGGTCATGTTGACTCGGTTTTCAGTGGTGCTGGGAAGGAAGCCTAGGGTCCCACACACAGTCAGTAAGAGCTTTTCTACTGAACCACAAACCCTACTCCTCAGCCAGTTTCTTATCAACAGTCTTTATGGGCAGACTGGGAATGTCCTATAAGAATCAATTCAAAGGACTGCTCACTCTGCCTCAAGCTCAACCCTGCCCTGTGTACCTACATCGTACGCTCAGCTATTTCATGAAACAAACTTCATGTCCTGTGCTTGTCATAAATAAAATGAAATTAAGAGATCTTAGCAGTCACGTATGTCCTTTCATCCTAATATGTGGCCATATTTGAAACCATGTAGAGATGCTGAGCTGGCCGAAGACTGGTCTAAATAGTTCCCCACTAGTTCTGAAAATGTCTTAACATTTTCAGACTCCTCTGAAAATATGTGGTCACTACCCCGTGCTAACGGTATTCAGATGGAAACAGCGGGTCTTGGCCTCTAACAAGGCACCAGCATTGGTCTCCACGGTTTCCCAAGCTACCAACACAATTGATTAATTCTATCCAGTGGGACTCTAAGCAGTTTTCCCAAACTTTACTCCCTACATGGCACTGGCGCCCTATTGTGGCCACTTAAATGTCCCAGAGGAGCACAACAGCCCACACTGGTAACTACTAGTCTCAAAAGGAAAAAAAAAGAAAAACAAAACATGCAAGCAATCCATCTGTTGATAAACATGACTCTGTGCTGTTCCACATCTTGCCTATAAAGTTTTCACCTCTCTACAGAATGAACAGGACTGAGCTAAGTCTTTCTTTAAGGTTTACACGATTTCTGTTGGAATGATCCCACGCATCATCAGATGTGTTTTATTCCTGTGGCACACATTTTTAGAGAGGGTTTTCTCTCTACATTATGATAATACAGATTTTTCTTAGTTCAAAAAAACAACTAGCAAATTACTTTTGCCCCAAATTATTTGAGTTAATAAAGTCATAGTCCGTCAAGGCTCTTGCCTTCAGCACTCACACTATTTCTGTAAGGTAGGCAGTCTAACTCTTACACCATCATTAAATGGAATTTATGGGTAAATTCAAAGATGTCCTTGTTAGCAGCAAAAGATACTGACAGACGACTTGTAGCATTTTTTTCTTCCACTAAAGATTATACGATTCAATAAAACTAAGAAAATATTATTTGATTAATATTATAATATGCTGATATATCACCCATCTTTATATTAGCCCTAAATTTTAAAAGTTAAAACAAATACTTTTAAAGTAATAACAAAATCTTTTTATACTTCTGCGTGTCTAGAAATAAAACACAGATAGTTCCAAATGTCACAAAGATATGCTTTGTCTAACAGAAAATCCATGAAATTAACATTTAAAGGATCATTTCTCATGAAGAACATATTCTATGACCTCTGTGTAACCAGATCAAAGAAAAAGTTATTCAAGTAACCTGATTCTCATTGCCAGAACTGAAGCACTCCACCTATTCATTCAGAATCATTTAATAAATAGCAATACTTCAAATCATAGTTACATAAGACTACATATAAGAGTATTTGACATTGCTCATTAGAGTACTTCAAGGAAGGGTCACAAAACTTGATTTTTGTTTACAAATACAGTAATCAATAAATAGATCTATATACATAAGAAATACATGAATATATGATCGATTTAAATGGCACAGAAATCTCTTTGCTTCAGATAAATGCTAATATTTTTGGTATTTAAGTTTTTAATGTCAGTTAACAGCCTTTAAAAAGCAAAAAGTATAGCCTTCCAAATATGACAGACCAAAAATATATATAAAATTATAAATTATTTTTAAAATATCAATATTTCTCTTTTAAAAATATTGAAAACTTTTAAATCTTTTAAACAATATCTAATGTGGGTATTATAGAAAAATAAGTTATTGATGAAATCCTGTAATACAAGTTGTAGCTATGAGCATAGCCAGATAAATGGCTAAGAACTTCAAAACTACTGCTTGAAATCTTAGATGATAGAACAAAGCCTGTACTTAGTAACCTGAACAGGTGGGAAAGTAAAGTAGTATTTCCCAATTGAAACTTAGCTCTTTAAATATGTCAATTAGTAGTTCAACTTAACAACACTAAAGCAATTGTGTGACTCCATGGGATTTTACCATTTTCAAATATAGAATGTTCTTGGGTTACCAAATATAGATGAAGCATGCATTAATCAATACCAGGTGCATTAGCATCTGTAATGTATAGGCTGAAACATGGTGAAGGAAGGACAGAGGTGGCATGATGCATACTGAGTGTCTTGAGACATATCCCAACACAAGGCAACAAAAAGGAAGCTGGAACATTTCAGCCCAGGCAACAAAAGCAAGTGAGATGGGACAGAAACTGGGAATGAAGGTAAGAACTATGGTGTGTAGTCTGTGGTCTACAGTTCATAGGCAAAACTCTATAGTCTATACTCTATAATCTATAGTCAATAGTCTATAGTCAATAGTCTACAGTCAATGACCAGCAATAAACCTAGCCAAAAGCCGAAAATCTCAGGGAAGAAAAAAAAATGTATTAAAAATAGTTTTGATCCTTGGGTCCCTATTGTCCCTAGGAAGGATGCTTTTGTTGACTGCATTCCAGAAGCAGGGTTAATGGCAAGGTTACACTGTGGCCTAATCCAGGAGAACTAATGGAGCTATGCTCCATTCCTCCTCCGATTTCACTGCTACCTAGAAATATAATATGTAGAGGGAGGAAAGAAATTTCTTTCTAAGATTTATGATTCTAGTAAATATCCCAGAACATAGATACTAGCACCAAAGGCATGAAAAATATTTTCAGTAATGCCCAAATGTAAGAATATGCCTTTGATCATCAATTATCATGTGGGTATGTCTGTATCTGCCTTTCAGACGTGTGTGTGGCCATCATTACATTCACAACTGTAGCTCCGCTGAAACATACTGATGTTGAAACTCCTCACTCTGCGGTAGCATCAGTAAATCAGTGTAGAAAGCAAACCAGGTCAAAACTTAGCTTTAGCAAAATACATCTTCCAAACAGTCATGGCACAAGAAAACTGATCTGATCCAATTATCCTAAAACTTTATACTTTTACATATATATATGTAAAAGATGTCTAACAATAGCATCTCTCCCTGGAGATGCTTCACAAGCGAGTCCCATTGGTCTTGCTGCTGTGATCTGTGAAGTTCAGCTCCACGTGGTTGAAGGCAGGGTTATCAGTTCCACCATCTTCCACAGGATGCAATTTATAGCTTAAAACCTGATTCTTCTGAGGAAAAAAAAAGAGAGAGAGAGAAAGAAAGGTAACATGGAAATTTTTTTCAAAAAAGAAACTTTACTTTTGTTCAGTGACAGGTAATTTTTATTTCTCAAAAACAGCTTGGAAATCTACTGAGGGAGAGTAATATCCAAGCAATATAAGCCAGCAGACGATAGGACGGTGTACAAGAGACACTTGAGCTGTAAATGTTTATGTATGTGAAGAACTTATGAACTATCTATAGATACTCATAAGTAGTTTGTATCTATTAATTGTATATTTGTAGATACAGATATAGAAATAACCCTTCTGTGTCTGTTAAAGAAAAACGCTGGGGACTAATTGGTATTCTATTCAGATGATTAAATAAAAAGAAATCTCTAATTTAAGATAAACAAAACCCAACTTACTTTCTTAAAAGCATCAAAATTTGATAAAAAGTCCTGCTTGGTTAATAAGAATTGGGGGTCTAAGTTCTGTTTTCTTCCCCCTGAAAAACAAATACATTATTTACATTGCCATACAGACACCTATAATGACAAATTGATCTCCATCACACAGGCATTCAGCTTATGAACACTCAGAAAATGCAAAGAGACCCTTTAAGGTAGTGCTGAGAATCTAGCCACCTCCCCCTTTCCTAGATCTCAGATTCTACAAGCTGCTAACTGATGAATGTGAAGCTTGTGATAATTACACAGATAAATAGGTACGGGAAGATAACAGCTCTCAGTCCTAACCCAACTGCCTCAGCTGGTGCCACCTGGATAAAAGAGCTGTCTGTGCCAGTGATGACAGGAAGAGAGTTACCTACACGAGCTGACTTCAATTAGCAAACTCCTGCCTCTGTCTCTGCACTTTGGCCACCGTGAATAGTAACAGTAATGGAGAAATTAGGAACTGCTGACTTAGTTAAGCAAGAGGAATGCCACTTGCTCAGAGGTGTTTTGTACAAATCCTCTAAGATTTTGTTTTAAAAACAAAAATTCTTTACCTTTTTTTTTTCTTGGTGGACCTACTAAGACAGTTTTGAGAAGCAAGTGTATGGGCTTGAAACCACCACTATCTACATCTTTGAGGAGATGTGCTTAAAACTCAGATCCCTGCACTGAAGCTGTGACTGACCAGCTGGGAACTGAGGCCACTGAACTCTTGATTTTGCCATATATATATATAATTAGGGTTTCTCTGTCTGACAGAGCCCTGGCTGTCCTGGAGCTCAGTTTGTAGATCAGGCTGGCCTCGAGCTCATGGAGATCCACCTGCCTCTGCCTCCTAAGTCCTGGGATTAAAGGCATGCACCACCACACCCAGCTTCCAAGATGATTTTGATACCCACTAAAGTTTGAGAATTGCCACAGCACCTGCTCCTGTTTCACTAACATAGGAACAAGCACTCAGTGCAAAGAGTCAATGGAGCTGAAATGCCAGTGTCCAACTGGATTCTTATAGGTTTCTAGCACCCTACAGTTCATTGTAAGGAACATCAGAAGTGTATGTTTCTAGATCTTTTTCAAGGTTCTCACAGTTGCTGTGGTGGAAAAATGGCTTGTTGGTATAATTAATGAAGTGTTTTTATGACTAGATGTCTGCTCTCCTGGACATAACTTCATGCAGTTAACAAAATCAAGGAAGTTAAGGAAAAGAAAAGGCAATGCCAACAAGATACTCTGATATCCCAGTTTCTTTAAAAGACAGAAAGAGTGGAGAGGAGTCAAAAGAGCCAAAGATAAAAATACAAGGATAGGTGTATTTCAGATATGAACAACTGGGTAATTTGTGAAAATAAATTTATCTCTCAAAATAGATTAAGCAACAAGGCTACTACATTAATTCTTTATGACAAAAAACAATCGCTTTGGAAAGTGAATGCAAACGTTATTGTTACTGATACAAAGGCAACAAGATAGGAAGCAGTGTCACCTGCCTCCAACAGCTGTAGGAAAAATCAGCAGTTGTAACCAGATTGCACAAAGAAGCTGCTGCTAGCTTTACGTAACTTGAAAAGTGGCAACACCATGTGTTTGGACAAAGTGTGGCTAGCTGACAACAGTTAAAGAAGGCAAGGCAGTGCTCCCTGATCTGGCTGCTATGGCTATATATGTGAGAGGGAGTTTGGGGGGATTCAGAGCCCAGCACATCCACCAAACCCCAATCCCAGGCACTATGCTCTCTCACCTGGATATTGCAAGAGTTTCCCTGCCCTCCTTCCCTACAGTCCATTCTCAAACTGGATCAAATGCTCCTTTAAGAATTACTGGGAAATTAACTGGGAAAGATATTCATGGATTAGACCTAAGAGACAGTAGGAAAGAAAAAACGGCAAGAAAATGAAAGGAAACTTTCTAGACACAACATTTGACTAATAGAAGTTTTCAGAAAGGTAAAACAGAAAACTGCAAGAAATCATGAAAGGATAGCCTAAAAAAAAAAAATGCCTGGAATAGAGAGACATGAGACTCCAGAGTTAAAGAGCCATAGGGCAAGCTAGTCGTTGAAAGATGTGCCATCGCGATGGTTAGCAGGCAGCTTGGCATCAATGCTCAATAGCAGCACTGGGCGAGGAGAAAAGTAGGGATAAGATAGTTTAGCATAGCACTTATGCTCAAACAAATTTAGCAGTTAAGCTTAAGTAATATTTTTAGACATGGAAAATTTTCAAAACCTCTTCTGCTCTCTGTCCTTTTCAAGAAGATACATATAGTATTCAAAGGAATAAATGTAGGGGGAGGTGGAATGGCTCAGCAGTTAAGAGCACTTACTGCTGTTCCAAAGGACCTGACTTTGTTTCCCACTACCCACATGGTGCCTCTGAATTGCAGGTAAGGAGGGATTTGGCACCTCTTCTGGTCTGCAGACAAACTCTGCAGACTCCAGGCAAACATGCAGTGCAATTACACAACATACAACTAAAACACTCATATGTATGAAAATATTAACCAATTTAAAAAAATAAACTAGAAGTATCAACATAAATGAGAAATTACAGAACAGAGCCAGTGGGAACCCCAGCGCAGGAAGGGGTCCAAGAGAGCGCCCACAGTAAGAACAAAATAAAATCCCAGGATGAAACCTTCTTTCCCAGGTAACAAGTTACAGCTATGCATTATCAACTGATGACTAAAACTGTATTTACTCTTTATGAACATCTTCAAAGGCTTTCTGCTGTGTTCACACATAAATATTATAGTTATTATTCTTTACATGTGTGTACATTTTTGAAATTTACAGAGTTCATATTGGACAATGGAAAGATCCTTGCATAAAAGTGTTGTCAAGATACTTCTACCTTTGTAACAAGTGACTGTGTAAGTAAGTGTTCTCATACATCGGAGCTTTATCTCATAGCAACCTGCCTATGTCGTCCTCACTACACACGTAACAACGCTAGCACTTTGAGTAGAGTAGTTGCCTTGCCTGTGGTACCTTGCCTGAATCCAGGTAGCTACCAAGTGGCAGAATCAAGATTACCATGGTGATGGGTCTTCTGACTTATGTTTAGGTTCTCAAATAACTCCCTGAGTAAATTCTAAAAATTAATTTAAATCATCAATGGGATCAAGGTAAAGTACCATAGATAGCTATAAATCATACATAGGAAGCTCTTATATTTCTAGAAGGGAAGAGAAAAAAATATTAGGATATTTACCTGTTGATAAACTAATAAGTATCCCCACAAACAATGTTGCCACTGTTCCAACAGTACTGAAGTACAGATATGATAATGAATACAAATTGTCCATCAATGCAGTCCTGAAAGATATCAAAAATATAACTACAATAATTTACCATATTCCTAGCAAACAAAAAGTATGTGTCAATGATCCTGAAACTTACAATGCAATATTTAAGCATTTTTAATGTCATAATTGATGGTTCTGATCTCTAACTATTGAATCAAGAAATTAAAGTATGGGGCTGGAGAGATGGCTCTGTGGTTAAGAGCAATGGCTGTTCTTCCAGAGGACCCAGGTTCAATTCCCAGCACCCACATGTCAGCTCACAACTGTCTATAACCCCTGTTCCAGAGTATTTGACATCCTCACACAAACATACATACAGCAAAAACACCCATGTATATTAAAAATAAACAAATAGATAGATAAATAAATGACTAAATAAATAAAAAGAATTTAAAATATGATCGTAGAAATGAGAAAGGACTTTAAATATCAAAAGAATAAGGTGTCATAATTCTGTGGCTCAGGAGAAACAAGGCATGAGGCCACAGTCGCACAGGGCTCTGCAGCCTAGCGTAGGCAGGTTACTATGGACTCCCTGACAACACAAAAATAATACATAATCCCAGTAAAACCCTTTTTAATTTTTTTTATAATTCTTAGCTAGAATGCATAAATAACTAGTGTGTAATCAAATCAATATCCTAAGCTATCCTTGTCCCTGTGCAACAATTTTCAATTCACATCTTTTTTCTTTTTGTACTCTATTAAATTCCAGATCCCCCAAATGCCATTTTATGAGGACATATTCTAAATGAGTAGGTTTGTTACTTTTCTGAGGGGTTATCTTCACTTTGTCACAAATAAACTGTTCTTATACATGCCTCTTAAGATGGCAAACTGATGTCATTTGAATAACTTAGCTCATGTGTTGAGATCTTGGTCTTCATCCTACACTATTGGATATGGCAAACTTTTAGGAGATAAAGCCTAGTAGAAAGAAGGTAGGTCATTACAGGCATCCCTCAAAGGAGATGCTTGGGTACCCAGCCCCTCCTCCTTCTCTCTACCTTTCAGCTCCTTGAGCTGAAACCATCTCCTCCAGCACAGGCTGTCACCATTGTCTACTGTGCCACCAAAACTCAAAAGTATCAATGACAAGCCATCATGGCCTGAAATTCCTAAAGCCATGAGCCAGAATATCATTTTTTTATCAAGGGTATTTCATAACACAAAACTGAATATACATATTCATAATAAACTAGTAAGTGTCTGTAACTCTCCAATATTGTTCTTATCATTGAAGTCAGCCATAAGAAAGGTAGATAAAATTGCTGTCCACATAAAGCTTATATCCAGCAAAACAGAAAATACAATAAGCAATAAATAAGTGACAGGAAGTCCTATAAGAAAAAAATGGAGCAATGCTATATGACATGAACAGAGCAGAGAGGGGAGTCTACACTGCAATGAGTGATTAGAGAAGACCCTTGGGAAGATGAGACATCACTCACGGATGTCATCTTCAGCTTCAGCAGCTTCGTTGCTGGGCATAGTGGTGCACTGCTGCAATCCCAGAACTCTGGGAGGTAGAGGCAGGCAGATCTCTGTAAGTTCAAGGTCAGCCTGGTCTATAACTTGAGTCCAGAACAGACAAGGCTACACAGAGAAACCCTGTCTTGAAAAAATAAAAACCAAAAATAGATAGATAGATAGATAGATAGATAGATAGATAGATAGAGAAAATAAATCACCTTAGTTAAGATCTACCTCCGTGCTAAGAACAATGTGTAAAAACATGATTTTAAGGCACCAGCCAGATCAAAGTAATGAGAATTTCAGAAGCCAAAATCCCAGGAATAAGAGAAACATGCTGAGATGAATTAATGAAGTTGAGATGGTGTGGTATTGAGCAAAGAAAGAAAAGAAAAAAATAGCATAGAATAGTGAATTAAGAAGCAAATCCCCAGGAAACTCATTTGATTTACATTAGTTTGGTCAACAGCAAATCTTGACAATGGGGGAATCTTTTCAATAAGAGGAGCTTGGTTTACTGAAATTTCATGGCCTGCCTAGTCTACATACTAAGTTCCAGGACAGCCAGAGCTACACAAAGAAATCCTGTCATGATAAACCAAAAACAAACAAACAAATAAATAAATAAATAAGAGGAATAGCTTCATGACATTTTGAGCAAAAACAAAACCCACCAATTGAGAAAAAAAATCTTTAAAATGTATTTTGAGTAAAGAAATATCACAAATTCCTAAATAAACAAGAAAGAAAGAGATAGAAAGTCTGTTAAAAGTTGGGACAGTGTTTTTAGAAGGCAGGTAACAAAAGTAGATATCTGAATATCCAATAAGCAGATCAAAGGGTAGCCAACTTAATTAATCATAAAAGAATTAAAATTGAAATTACCAAGATTTCACTCATCAACTACTAAGAAGTTAAAAGAATCCAAACTCAATCTGGACAGCTCGAAACTCTGTCCAGTCAGCTACAGGATGTCTTGTTCCATCTCAGCTGCTCACTTGCTGTTTTGTACTGTAGGACTACTATAAAATAGTCCATCAGAAAGCCATAGAGGGTCTATCCATTTCAGGGTTAAGAAAAAGCAGCTTCAAAAACAAGACAAAACAAACAAACAAAAACAAAACAACTAGGATCCCCTACTAGTCACACACGTTTTAATGATGTAACATGAAATTGAATTACCTTTCCACATTGTGTATTTGGAAAGCACTGGTAGAAAACGGCATTTCTGTGGTTGACATCCAGTCTGACCCATTGTGTGTGCTGTTACAGCCATGGGTATCAAGGGACAATGGTAAGGTTCTCTCAGGAAGTGGAGGATAAAGCTGAGCTCCAATTCCTACCCATAAAGAAAAGACAAATCCAGCCAAAAGACCAGCGAATGCTCCCTGAAAAAAACAAGAGTGCTTTTAAAAGAAACATAATAGCATTCTCTTTGAAATAGATCTAATGTGATGAGAAAGTCGAGTTCAAAATGATCCAAACTGGCCAGCACTCTATCTGACTCTCCTCCCTACAGTGTGTCTGCCTCTTGTTAAGGTTACTATAGATCCCTGATGTCTCTGACTCATGAACTTCATTTCCACGTTACCTAATGGTTATGCTAGAAATGTCTGACATCATTACATATATTCTAGGTCTTTCCAGAACTTCATCCTATAATGGAAATGGACTTCTTGTTGATTTTCAAAAAGATCATTTGGATTTCATTTACTGCACACAATTAGTATTTCAAGACACACACATGTTTAGGCATAATACCAGACATATCAGCTCTTTCCAAATACTATTACAAATTATATTCACCTCCTTGGAGCTAGAATGATGTACAGGAACTACAGCTTGAAGCACTACAAGAACAAACTTTGTTGTCACAGTGAGTGGTAAAGATCCAATTACCTCTCTTTGCTGTGCTATGACTGAATACAGTTTTTAAATCTGTCTGAGCTTATTGATCTCCTTCCTTAAAGCTTAGAGACTCAAATTTAAGAGGATCAAGAATTTAAATGTACAAAAGATGTTGGTCTATTACATCATGATTATTTAAATTAGATTGCATTCTCCTAACAGTTTCCATTTACCTTCCTACACGCATAGTTCTTCACTGTACACTCTATCAAAGTTAAAATAAATAATTTTAGCCAAGACAAGTAACTAGTGACTGATCTCAAAGCAACCATGTCTTTATGGCTGAGAAGAAAAATGTAGTTGGAAAGGTAACCTTTAGCCATACCCATTAGCTATACTTACAACAGAGTTGGCAAAGGGTACCAAGATGCCCAAAGAAAACAAGCCCAGAAGTGGTCCACCAACCATGCCAAATATGCTGAGTGCTGCCTAAAAAAATAACACAAAGTCAACAGTTAGAAATCTCAAACACAGCATAATGTTTCAAGAAATTTCAGCAGGGTATTCAGTCTTCTTTAGAAAAAAAAATCATAATTTTATTCATGGCAGTCTTGTCATTAGCAGAGATCATTAACACCTGGAAACTTCCACTTCTTGATTTCAAGTGGCTTCCGTTCGGTTGGTTGGTTGGTTCTGAGACAGTATTATTACCTGGCTTTCGAAGACCCCTGTTGAAGTTTATTAATAAAGATACACACACATAGTTTAAGGCTATTGGCCTTTTGCTGAAGCAGTCTCTCAGCTAGCTCCTAACTTAACCCAAATTCTCAGGCATTCCATCTCTCCACTGGTTCTCACTGGCTACCTCTCTACTCTGTCTCCCCCTTCTGTCTTCTCTGAGTCTGTCCTTGTTTGCCTACTGGCAAGCCAGCTCTTTATTATGCAAAAAGCCACCTTTTTTTTTTACTCAGCTACTGGCTGGGGGAAAGCACCCTCCCCACAGCAGCTTGCCTTCCTTTTAAAGGCAGGTGAGGAAGCTATATCTACATATCCTGCTAGCTGGACATTGCTGGCTTTAAATAACAAGACTACACTTTTTCATAGTTAGAAGACACAATATGTGTGGGTCACCCCAACACGGGGTCATCTCACTATGTGGAACTGGCTGTCCTGGAACTCACTAGACAAGGCTGACTTTAATTTCATAGGGAAATAATGTGATTCTTGGGTTTACAGATGTAAAAGATGTCCTGGAAGGCTGAAGGACCTGTATCTGCTGTCTCTGTGAGCTACATTTACACCACCCCAGAAATTTTGGTACTGGCATGGTAACATGGGAGTACAGAGGCCAAATTCAAAGGGGTGAGCCACAGTTACCCAAAAGGGTCAGCTTGCAGAAAGGTCAGAATCGGAAAGGCTACTGGGACAGTAACTCAACAGTGTATTTATTCTCTATGAAGTAATCACACATGGGTTGAATTTCTAAGAACAGATGATAAGATCGACCTTGGGTCAAATCCTTGCACCTTAGAACTTAGAGGCAGAGCTGGCCTCATATGGCGCTGTCTCCACAGGCTGGTGGGACTGTCGCCAGAAGCCATGTTCTCTGGAAAAGCAACTTCCTCTTGTTGACTGTAAAGTACAGTTAGATAAAGAAAGCCCATATATATTTAAAAATTAATTTTATTGCAGAAGTTTGGAGGTCATAAATATAACTTTTAATTTAAGTTTGAATTGGTGTTGAACAAATAAGCTCTCTGCTTTTCAAATGATTTGAAAGTCACATTCATTTGCCTCTTTGTTGTGATGGTGGTTTGATTCTTTTTTCTTTTTTAAGTAAAATTACTGAACTTGTGCAATAGCATCAAGGAAATTACCTGAGGTGTCTTATATGAGTGTGCTCTAGCCAGGGTGGACACAGCTTAAATTATGAAAACTAAAGATTAAAATACAAAGAAGTAAAAGTTCCTGCTGCCTCCTCCTAAGAGAACTTTTGTTCTTCTAACCATGGAGCATAATGCCACTGAATGATGGACTTTAAATGAATCCTGTGGGGTGAAGCACCAGGGTTACTAACGTCCATTTCATCCAAGATCCTTATTCGCTAACCTTCTCAGTCCTATTGAAACATTTCAGTATCTGAAAATACTGCAATGTTCCTACCCAAGAGAAAAGCTGTTATGTGTATGCTGGTCACGATGATTGCGGTGTGGTACCGTTTCATTTTCCTGATGTTGTTTTCATTTTTTAAATAAACTATCATGCCCTTCAGGGGGGATTTCATAGGGAACCCCTTACCTTTACCTCCCACATGCCAAGATTGCCAAGATTAAAGGTGTGCGTCTATCCCTCAGGACCCTCAAAGAGGCTGCCAAGGGCTGGAGAGATGGCACAGTGGTTAAGAGCACACCCACCGCTCACTTGTTTACAAGGTTAAAACTTGGTCATTATGCTCTATCTTCATTCTCAAAAAGGTTAAAAATCACTGTCTTGGAAATATGTTTAGTCTTGTTTTCTAAATTTGGTAATGTTATTAATCCATTAATATAGCTTATAAAAGTCTAATGTGTTAGACTATTTATAAACTAAATCATACAAAAAAACCGTTATGCTCTCTCTTTATGGACTATGTTTGTTTTTAAGGCCCCAACTTAACAGGTATAAAACCTGAAGTCTTAGTCTTTAATTATTAAGATAAACTATAGGCCTTTTATTGACTGCAAGATTTTTATTTAGTATTTAGATCTACTTAAGATAGACATGGTCCTCAAACACGTAACCTATAGAATACGATAAATCACAGATCATAGCATTCTGTTTTCTCTTTACAACGTGTAGTTTAGAGCAGATAGCTAAATACTGATGCAGATAGTTTAACTCAAATATGCTAGCCTTCAAACCTGTCAGAGACCTACTGAATATGACATTTTAACACGTTTAAGCTTATTATCACAGGCAGAGACTACCAAATCCTAGCTGTAGCTCCACAAGGTCTCCAAGAAGATTTGAGCATGATAGATGACTTCAACCCTGGATTGTGGCATAACCAGTGGGCAAGACCGCCCCAAATGGCCCACCGCTGAGGTCCAGACTGAACTGTGGACAAGCTGGACACCCAGAGAGCTATTGTCTCATGCTGAAGAAAATGAGGTGAGGTCAATCTCTCACACGTTGTCCTTCCACAGAAAATCACAGGTCTCCTACTGTTGATGTCCAGACTGTCCATGTTGCAATAGAGACCTGAGACAGCTGTCTAGGCAATGGATTATGACAGACTCGTCATCTTTGTCATTTTAGTAGATACATACACTCATGTAGACTATACTTTACCCTTTTCAGGTCTCTAGTCATATTGACAGCTAAGCTGATGGTAGCTTGATAGCTAGAGAACAGGCAATTAGCTGCTTTACTCCAAGGTAATCCACTGTGTTAGTCTATTAGTCGATTCATTAGCTACTTAAAACTACTACATACTAGATCTCTTACTTGAAAAGGCAAACAGGTTCACCTTACCCACAGACCTCATGTTAAAGACAAACAGGCTTCAGAAGTCTTCTCAGTCCTCTTCATATGTGGGGGACCGGGCCTTAAGCCTCACTCCAGAGCTGCTACTGCCAGGTCTAGGACAGTCTACCTTGTTACCAGACTCAAAAAGCAGGTCTCAGCTGTAACCTTTTTTCATTCCTTTAGCTAAAAGACAGTGATTCTCCCAGCAGTCTCTTCTGTGTCTCATAGTAACTAGAAAAAAAGGCCTAAGAACACAAAAGGTATGAGGACCTAAGAAAGTAATTTTAGGGAAAGGTGACTTAAGGTAACAAAAAATTAAAAAATGCTTCAGATTTCTTCCTGTTGCCATGCTATTGTTGTATTAACTGTTTAGAGCTTTGATATTAATCACTAGAGCTCTAGTTTATTAATCTGACTCTGATAAAACATCCTACCATATGATGCACTATCATGGGTCCAAGCTCAGGATTATAAATTTCCGTTGATCTGTCTTTTAAGTGTAGACTTAAGAGTTGTTTCTCATTGTGCTAGACTTAGATACAGCCAGTCTTCTGGCTAGAGAGAAGAAGCCCTTCTTTTGCGGTATGTAATCATACTGAAAATCAAGTTCAAGTGAGCTTTTGCCCCTTCTATTTCATGGAAGGCTTCTGCCTTTCCAGAGCTCACCTTAAAGAGTGTTTATGCTGTTAACACAGAGCAGACTGTCTACTGCCTTTTCTACAATGTATATTCACTGTTGGCACAGGTGTGTGCCAGATGTGCTTCAGCTGTGCACCAGATACAAAGAACCAAACAGTCACTGCACACTCTCTCTGTCTTGGTTTCTCTCCTCTTGACTGTGCCTTGGGTGCCCCCCTTTCCACCTCTCCATCTCTCTGTCTGTCTATCTCTCTGTCTCTCCTCACCTTTGTACAATAAACCTCTTCATAATAGACCTGTTGTGTGTGGAATTTTTAAATATATTATTACAATGATATTATGCCCCATAAGTATGAACACTTTTATAGGTCAAATAAAATGTAAAAAGAATATTTAAAGAGCAGGGACATGGTGATTCGTTCACCAAGAGGCCAAACAAAACAGAATGAGTGAGTCAGACAGTATATCAAGGAAATGTTAGAAGATGTGTACTGAATCCTTGATTCAAATTAATTCCTTCAAAAGTCTGCACTGTGAAGTGGAGAATGTGTGGACTCTGTAAAAGAGAGCCAGAGCGTGAGAAGGATGTGTACTAAGGGGTGTGATACGAAGTCTGTGCTCAGCAGAGTCATGGGATGTGAGATAGACTTCACTTGGGGGAAAACCTATCAGATCGCCATGAAGCCAGTTACAACCGCATGATCTGAGAGCCAGGGCTATAGACATAAGGAAGACCCCTCAAAAAGTCTGTGTTAGGAAAGAAGACCTTACTTAGTGGTACAGGAAGGAATGGAGGGAGGTAGGCTTGAAGTCAGGATGGTTTCACCAAACAGCTCAGAACTGACAAAGAAAGAGAAGCCAATCACAATAGGAATCGGCAGCCATACTGCAAATGATGGAGAAAAGCACATTCCCACACCCATGCCAGCGAAGGTCAATGAAGAGTTGACACTGTATACTGGCGCCTGAACCAAGGCTCCTCCCTGCTGAGCAGTGTCATAGGAGTCCTTAGGGAACAAGCCGTCAGCAAAGTGCAGAAATAAGGAAGCTCCATCAGTGGAAATCACTTCGGGGGTGTTGGGGGTTGAAATTACCCAGCTCCCTTAAAAGAAAACCACTTCTCCCCTAGTTTATTGATCATAAAGGACGTAGCTTACATATCTCAGGCAGGTCATTCCCTCGGGCTGCCTTCTTCCAGCACAGATGTCAGTGTCACTGGACAGTTGGTCAGTAAGAATCTCTATCATTGGGACATCCTCAAACTTTGGGCAATTCTATGTTCTCCATACCTGTGTTCAGTCCAGGTTAGTTGCTAACTTCTTACTTCAGAGTTTATTTGGTAAGAGTAAATTTGGTTAAGGTTTCTAAAAGTTGCACTGTGCTAAGATAGCCTGGTTCCTGGAAATCCCTGAAAGAAGGTTGGAATTTCCCAGGATTGTTTTCTCATGGTACTAAGTGGCTCACAGTCACTTGGATAGGCCTATGGCTATCATTTATCTTGCAGCCATGGTAACGCTCACACTTGACCACTTGACTCTGAAGTGGATCAGTCATTAACAACTTATGTGAACTGTGAAAGTCTGTCAAATCTCAAACAAATTTCCACTGATGGGTAAAGAGTGGGTTTTAGCATTCACAGACCAACCTGGTGGGAACTTAACTGATTCATCATCAGAGAGTCTAGGAGAGTCAATATCCACCTGAACAACTGGGGAAGATAAAACAGAATGGACTTCAGCTATGGATTGAGGGCAGACTAACCAGCACTGTGGAAAGTGTAGTTCAACAGTCCTGGACCTGACTATAGTGACAGACAGATCGTGGGAAATCTATGGAGGCACACTCAGCATGTTGGCTGCTCAGTGGGGACCAAAATGATCCGTAGTAGAAAGTATCAGTGACCTCAATTCCAAGAAATCTGAGAAATCACAATTAGATAAGAACACCAAGTCCCCCGAGCTATACTATATGGGAACAGCACAGGGGTACAAAGAGGACTCAAAATCAAGCAGCAAATTCTGGTGGCATCCTGTGTGCAGGCAGCGATACTGAAGATGCAAAACTTAAACTTAGATGTGATCTGATACAGCAAAGTTTGGATCCTGCCTGTCTCATACGGTACCTTCAGGCAGCACAGAATGTAGAGACAGAAGCTGAAGTGACTCAGAAGGCCACCAGGCAATACACCAATAAAAATCTTGGCAGAATGATCAAGGTTAGTGAGCTACTCTGTGAGGCTATCCTGGTGTAGGACAGGAATGCTATCAGTGGACTCATTTCCCTGTAGTGGAAACGTTGGTGTTTGGCTGTCTAAGTTGGCCAGTGGCTGGGCATGTCTGCCTCAACGTTTGCTGGAGACAAGCCGGCTTAGGAGTGACCTTCAGCATAGCTTCCAATGGAGATACACTGTTCTTACAGTAGACAGCCTGAATGTGCACCACTTTATAGACGGGGGAGTTCAGAGGCCTGGGGAGTGGACTCCGGTGTAGGAACTCGAGCGACGAGGCGTTCCCATGGCATCACTAACATTCTCCTCTTTGAAGTTTGTCCAGCATCCTTTACTGGGAGATGTTTTGGCATTGACAATTTCAGTATGTTTTTCTTGGTAACAATTTCATCATCAGAAACTCAAAGTACCACGGGAAGTAGAAACAGACTTTAAAACAGACCCACCATGAAATGTTCGCCAGGCTCTACACACCTTGTGATCAGAGTGAGTTCTAGACCAGTGCTTCCCCCGGTTTCCCACAGAAGTGGATGCCAATGGGCCCATCACCAGTCCCAGATCAGAGACATGGTTATGGCCCAACCCTCCCAGATGAAGTACTGGCTCCTGATGGGTTCTGAAGGAGGGGCACATCAGATGTCTTCAGATGTGTACCCACAGAGGAGCTCACCAGGCTCCAGCACATAGTTCCAAATCCATGGTCACACAGAGATGCCTCTAGTTAACTTAGTCTCAAAAATAGAACAACAACAACCAAATAAATAATAGATGATAGATAGATAGATAGATAGATAGATAGATAGATAGATAGATAGTGAATGTGGGAGGGGAGACTTGTAAGGAAGAGAAAACAGTAATAAAGATTCAAGGTTACAATAATCAGAATACACATTATAGTAAATGAAACTGTCGAAGAACAAACTGTAAATGTTTTTCTGTTGAATAAAATTTAAAAAAAAATATACTTGGTTAAAAAAATCAACCAGGAAATCATTTCACTCTGTTTACTCTTTATTAACAAACTGAAGTCTTTCTGTAAAAGTAAAAAAGAGATGAAATGCATGTCAAAATTATCTTGCCCACTTACTTCAGCCTTCTAATTTTCGTTGCCGTATTTGAGGATTTGGGGTGGTCTTAGTGACTAACCTCCCCAGGACAACCTCTCACCTTCTGTTTAATTTGCGCCGAAGATGAACCTTCGCAGTGCCTTGAGCAGCTGATCCTGGCAGTGCTGTACACCATTGCTAGGGGAGCTAACCAGGGTCATGAACCAGATACCATCAGGGACAGATGGCCAACGAACTAGAAGAGTCTCCAACCTCGGAATCTGAGGTAGTCTTCCCCTTTTTCTATACCTACATGCAGACTGGGTCACTTACTGGCCATTTCTCCCATGAAGGAAGTTGGAGGTATCCTGGGAAGGGCGAATTCTGTTATAAGGTTTAAAAGGTTTACATGTGGTCTAAAATGGCTTTGTCTCTTGGAAGCCTTGAGGGCCATGATTAGAAATTTCTAGGGTCAAGCTGCATTACAGACCCAACTGACACATGGTCTCAACCTTGTAAGGCATGTGAATGAGTCTACAGCTGCCATTTATCTCTGTGATTATATGTCTCATTGCATACAACATATCTACACCAATACCACAATGGGCTACTCAACGGGTGGCAAGAAAAAAAAAAAGTGAAGGGTCTTTTGACACTGTGTCAGAGAAAGCTGCTAAAATAGAAAGTGTGGGGCTGGAGAGATGGCTCAGCAGTTAAGAGCCCTGGCTGTTCTTCCAGAGGTTCTGAGTTTAATTCCCAGCACCCACATGATGGCTCACAACCATCTATATTGAGATCTGGTGCCCTCTTCTGGTGTGCAGGTGTACATGCAGGCAGAACATCAGACACATAATAAATAAATAAATAAAAATAAATAAATAAATAAATCTTTACAAAAAGAAAAGAATGTGTGAGATCCAAAATTTCACCTCATGATAGAAAAAGGTCAAGTTTCAGTCAAAATTCATTCCTAAAGCAAGAACCAAGAAGACCTAAAACGGTTCTTACTGGTGGATCTCATTTATGAAACATTCTTTCGTGTGCATGGGCGTGCATGCGTATGAGTGTGTGTGTGTGTGTGTGTGTGTGTATGGGCATGTGTGTGTGTGTGTGTGTGTGTGTACATATGCACATACCATGTGCGTTTGTACAGGAACACGTACTTTTGTGTGAGGGTGTCTGTGTTCTCCACCTTATTTTTGAGACAGGGTCTCTCATTGAACTTGAAGCTTACCAGTCCAGCTAGATTAGGTGGTCGGTGGCCTCCTGGTCCACCTCTGCAGGTCTGGGTTACAGACACCCCTAGCTTTTTTATGTGGGTGCCAAGGACTTAAACTCAAGCCCTCATACTTTCACAGCAAGCATGTTGCCTCCGCACCTTTATATAACAACACTTTAAAAAAAATAGTACATTTTTATTTATTTTGTGTGTATAAAAGTATGTGTGTGTGAGTGAGTATGTGCATGTGTGCATGTATGTCAAAGTGTCTGCACGGAAATCTGAGAAACCTTCCAGGTTTTAGTCCTTCTACCATGTTGGGGAACAAACAGCCTTCAGACTTGGCATTTGAACCATCATACTGACCCCCTTTATATAACATTTTTCCCATGAAAAAAATTATAAGAATGGAAAGTAGATTCGAGGTTTTCAGAGGCCAGCAGGGGAAGGGGGGTGGGTGAAGACAGACAGCTGTAGGTGAAGCTGTGAAAGGCAGCAAGAGGAAACCTAGTGATGATTTCATCACTCTGTGTCTTCTTCATTGTTTCAACCCCAATATCCCAGCTGTAACAGTGTCCCATCAAGATGTTACCATTGCAAGACATTTCTGCAAGCTGTTGCTATTAAGTAAAGGGTATACATAAACTCTATAGTATCTTAACTTTGTATAAATTTGTAATTATCTCAAACTACAGTTTTGAAATGTTGAAAATAAGGATCTGGAGAGATGGCTCAGCAGCTAAGAGTTACTACCCTTACAGAGGACCTAGTTTTAGTAGCCAGCACCTACATCAGACAGCTAACAAAACTGCTTCCTACACCAGCTCCACAGCTTTTGATGCCCTTTGGCCCCTGTGGGCACCTGCCTGCACGTGTCACACATACAGACAAGCAGGCATACGCACACTCACACATACACAGGTAAAAGAAGAAGCCATGTTAAAAAAAAAATTAAAACTAATTCAATCATCTTTGTCCCTCGATACATCCAAGTGTAGATAGAGAGCTGAGAAAGTGAAGGTGGCCACGTGAACATTTAGGGTAATGATTTAGTGGTTGTGACGCGAGTCTTGAGACTCGTTCTTACCTGTAACAAGGCTCCCATCAGGGATGCCAAGGCAGCCATTCCAATGCACAGAGCTCCGTACAGCACACCTACATGACAACACAAAAGGCGGAGTGCAAGTGTGGACGCAGAGGAGTACAGTCCTCAATAAAATGAGCACCACACCTTTGAGTCCACCCTTGAGTGGATAATGTCGTTGAGGTGAGAACACCACCACAACAAAGTCAGCAGGACGAGGAAAGGACCATTTTCCACTAGATCAACAGGATGCAAGGAAGACAAAGGAAACCCTTATCCTGTGCCTCAGATTAGTCACAACAGTAGGTTACATAAAGAAAGGAATCCCTGGAATTAACGACAGAGGTTTTAAGACTTAGCAGCATTGTGCTGTTCATTTAATCCTCCACAAACATTTGCTTAAGGGGAGGTGCTGGCCTCTGCTGAGGACAATGTGGGGGAGGAAGGAGACAATAAACAGCAGAATCGGAGCCCTCTGACTTTCAGTAGTTCATTCGTTCTGGGAGGTGGTAATCCACACCAGCCCATGGTTTGGGTTCTTTGGTCCCCTCATAATCTCCACCAGCTTCCCCAGCCTTTCCTGTTAAACTAGCAAAGAGAGGACATTTAATCCGTATCGCATTCCGCCTTCAGCCATGGTCTTTTCTCTGAACTGCTTTACAGAAGGTTCTCAACACACCACTGGTTGGTAAGTGGTTGGATTGTTTCCTTTCCAACTTCACAGCAGTTTCTTAAATACAAGTGTTGCTTTTAAAATTAAGAGATACTACCCCCACTAAAGCATTTTATTCTTAAAATATCTATTTAGAGAAAATTAACTGTTATCACAATATAATTTCCCATGCTCAATTTTTTTTAAAAAAAAAAAGAAAGGAAAACTACAGAAGAGCAATTTCTTATCACAAAATTAGTGCATTCCTTCTGTTGTTGGTAATGCCTTCTTTGTCCCAGCATTCACATACTTTTGTTAAGAATATTAGGTAAATTATCTGATCCTGACAACAAAAAAAATAAAAGCACCATTTTTCCCCCTCAAAGTGCTCTTGTTGTAATGACATTTATAGGGCCCGATCTATAGAGACATAGTATTTAGATTTAACTAAATTCTGCTCTGTTTAAGACATCATGAATGGTGACCATCAAGGGTGACCATAATTAATCCAAAGTTAAGTAGTTGACTGTCATGTTGTTGTCTGTGATGCCCTTGACTACAAAAGCCTCTATGCAATGATTGCATAGAACCCTTCAAAATACAGAAAATTCAGGCTAGATGTGAAGTGCTGAAGATGTAATCTCAGCACTCAGGAGGATGAGGCATAAGACTCATGAGCTCAAGGCCAGGCTGGGCTGCATAGAACAACCCTTCTTTAAAACTGAGCGACAATATTACCACTATTAGTAATTATCATCAAGGACAACAAAACAGGATCCTTGGACATTGTCCTGTGTGGTTCTTTAATAATTAGATTATATCTCTCTCTCTCTCGACTAACCCCAGCTGCCCATAAACTCATGATCCTTCTACCTCACACTCCCAAGGGTCAGGGCTACAAATGCGCGCCACTGCTGTCATCATGTTTGAATTAGTGCCCATGTCTTCTTCGCAGGTATGATCAGCTCTACAGCATTGTAAGCACATGTGACCCGGAGACGTATTGGTCCTAGGAGGTGCTTAACGATTCTTCGGAGGACAACTTCTAGAGTCTCCAACACAGAAGCAAAGATTCTCTCAAGCAGAATCGGGAGGAAGGGAACTTACTCATTCCTTGGGAAATCCAAGACAGGGACTTCTCCGAGAGTGACCTGAAGCGAGGTTTAATGAGATCTTCCACAGTCACCGCTGCCAGGGCATTGATGCTGGAGGACACAGTGCTATGAGGAGGACCAAGCCTTGATTTAATGATGCTTTTAGTGGGAAGGAAGAAGAAGAAAACACACTACCACTTCTAAAATGGGAGCAGACGGGGCTGGAGAGATGACTGGAGTTCACTAGCCACTCCTCCAGAGGACCTGCGTTGTGAGGTGCAGCACCTGAAGTAACTCGCAACCATTTGTAACTTGAGTCTGAGGGGATCTGATACCCTCTCCTGAACTCTGAGGGCACTGCAAGCATGTGGTGCACAGACCTACATGTAGACAAAACACCCGTGCCCACAAAATAGTAAAATGAATTAAATAGAATTATGTTCTTTTATTTTTAATAATCACAGTACCCTCTTTCTCAGAATTATTATCTTTTATGAACGAGTCAGGCAACATAGATAGATTTAACAGAAAAGGACAAAGGATGTGTTAGAATTGCTTGTATTTCCCAGGTGGCCTTCTGTATCTATAAAATGAATTTGAATATACTACTCAGATTATCACGTAACAACTTTAAGATATAGTTTCTGTGTACATAGAAATAACTACTGTTGAAAGGGTTAGACTAACTTTGTAACCTGTATGTCTTCTAAAGCCTATAGTTTTGAGTTTTAGGTTCAGGTTAAGCTAAAGCCTCTTAGTACCTTTCCAGAGAATGGAAAAATGTGACCCTATCTATGAGGACAGATAAAAAAAAAAGGCAAGCAAGCAATGACCTTCACTCAGCAAAAAGAAAAACTCCTGTCTTTGAGATAGCATTTCTTAGCAACAAACCTAGACTTCTTCTGAGTAGCTTTTGACCTCCAGCCAAAAGTCTGTAGCCCCTAATCTTCAAGGATGAGCTAACCACCCCCACCTTCAATTGCAGCTGCATCCACACTTGGCAGGACTGGCCAAGCTTGAGCACCTACGACTAACCAATTATCTTACTCTATAGCTTCCTCATCCAATCCTAAATTGCCAAGACTGCAACTTTAAATCTCCCGCAATTTTTCTTTTAAAAACCTAAAGGCCTTTGTCTCCCCCCAGTGCCACTCTTTGCTGACCAGCAGAGGTGACCCCATTGTGCAATGGTTAATAAACCTCTTGCTTTTGCAATGAGTCTTGGTCTGGGGGAGTTTCTGGGAAGGGCGAGATCTTGAACTCCTGAGCTGTGAGACCCCAGGTCTTACACTGTAAGTCCTCAGCAACACATACCATAAATACCGTACTATTAACACCCTAGATCCTCATTAGTATATACTGTATATCTGCTGATAGTAATTCCCTAGATCAAACATAAGAAGAACCTGCAACAAAGAAGTTCAATGGCGAGACACAGATTCTTTACAAGATGTACAGCATTCAACATGCAATCAGATTTGAGTCTATTTGAGTCATGATTTAGCCTCACACACTTTCTAAACCAAGACAGAAGCCACTCGTTTTTAATACTCAGCAAATGTTAAAGCTACCATCAAGTGGTCATTGGCATAATGACCATATTGGTAATGCAATGGTGTGTTAGAAAGCAGAGACCTAGTCAAGTGTAGAGCCTGATGACAACAGAATGACCCCATAGGTGGCTGACCAACAGAAGGATATGTGGGATAGTTTGCCTACTTTCGGTCATTTGTGACCATGTCCAGCATTCATCTTTACCTCTCAGAGTAATCAACAAGAAAAGAAAGATACTATGATGATTAATTTTAATGGTCAACTTGATCAGATAGGGAAATGCATAGGGTATTAGTAAAACACATCTCTGCATTTGTCTTGAGGGCATTTCCAGGTCACAATGAATGGATTAATACCTTGATGGAGTGGGCAATGATAGCGTTATTGAGGAGTGGTGGAGACACAGGAGGTAGAGCCTGCTTTGATGAAGTGGGTCGCTGGGGGTATTTCCCTGGGTGCTCTATCCTCTTCTGGCCTCTTCCACGAAAAAGATCTTCCACCATTGCTCCCACCACCAGAATGTTTTGTTGAAATGCCTAGACCCAGGTAAATTTGAGTTGAACCCTCTAAAACCATGATCTAAAATAAGAAATTCCTTCCTGCAAGTTGTTTTCTCATGCATAGGCCAAAATAACAGTAAGTCCTTACAAAAAAGACACCCTCATAGAATCAGTTTTATACCTTAATGTCCCACTGTAAGCACAGGCCACAAACAGTCCGGGAACTCCAGGGTAATTTCTCAAAATGTCCAGTACCATATAAGGCATAAGCTGAAAAATTCCAAAATTTATACCCAAGTGTTAGTTGTTATTACACAAAATTAATACACAGTGAATCTCCCCTAAAGAAAGCGGGAGACTCTACATAACTCCAAAGATATAAAATGAAGTCAACATTCATTGTATGAATTCTCAAAGATAATCCTCTCATTTTTTAATCCCACAATTATATTAGGGCAGTTCATTTGCGCTGAGGTGAATTGACCTATCTTCATTCTGAGGCCCCAGGTACTTGGTCATCGAGCAGGTTTTAGGAAGTAGCTTTGGCAGGAGCTTGGGCTCCTGGAGTCAGGATGTGCTAACCTGGAGCTGTACTGTAAGTTTACAGGAAAGTGCATGTTATAGAGAGAGGCCCAGGAAGTCTTATGGCACAGCGCGTGGGTCTGAAGCTTGGTCCCAACTGCCCAGCTGTTTACCTAACTCCTCACTGCACCTTGTTTTCCTTATCGTTGAAAGAAAACTAATAATACACTGCCTCAGTGTATTACTACTGCCTCAGTAATAATTCACTGCCTTTTAACTGTGAAAGGTAAAAAATGGACTTTAAATTAAGCATATTCCAAAGTATCTATCTGGCTTATTGTAAGAACCTGATGAACTCTCACTATGATTCTATTTATTAGCAACATGACCTTGGGCCAATCAAAAACCCTCACTGAACCTGGTCTAGTGGCACACTGCTTTAATCTCAACACTTTGGAGGCAGAGGCAGGTGGATCACTGTGAGTTCGAGGCCAGTGTGGTCTATACAGGGAGTTCCAAGATAGCCAGAGCTACACAGTGAGATCCCGTCTCTGTGGAACCGAAATCAAGCATGTTAAGACGCCTGACACAGAGTCACAGCGCCTAGTCAGAATGCAAACTGACTAGTCTGTTCCTACATTTAAATGTAGTCTGTTCCTACATTTAAAACTGGAAGGTAGAAGCTTAAGCGATCACTGAGCTGTAAGAGCCCTGGATGCTTTTGCAGATGACCCAGATTCTGTTCCCAGCACCCACAAGGAAGTTCATAGCCATCACTAACTCCAGTTCTAGGTCATCTGTCTCCCTCCTGACTTCTGGAGGCACTGGGCACGCAAGTGGCACACAGACATACCTGCAGGCGAAACACTCACACACAAAACATAAAATAGGAAAAATGTAAAATTTTAAGGTAAATGAGAAAGGGAAGATTGCTTATAAGTGAATGCTTTTACAATATCTACAAATGTCTGTGATAACATGTTTTATATATTGTTCCTATTAACCAAGCTTACTATTTTTACTTCCAACCCTGAGTTTTTCTATCCAAAATCCGGCTTGAAACTTTTCCAGGTATTGTAACAGTTTAGTTTTTTATACAGAAATCTTCATACTTGCTCTATCTGCTATGTTTTACTGCGTGACTTCCAGAAGTAAAAGGCAGCTACTTGCATTGTATGGGCATTTGTCTCCTCAAAATCGAAAACTTTTCCTCCTAGCACCACACATGCTTTGTAATATCAGTGTACATGTGAGAAAGATGTGACTCCAAACCTGGTCAACTTCTGACACTTTCTTGGATGTCCAAGGGTCACAGTCATGGTATCTGGAGTACAGGGCGAGGCCACAGAACACAGAGCAGGTGAGGATGATCCAGAGGCCCACAAGGTTGATGTAGAGCGACCTAAAGGAGAGAAGGCAGCCAGTAACAGCCGTCATCTCTATCCCAACCACTAAGAAAACTGTGACTAGAACACGAGACAATGCTATAATTATACTTACTAAATACACATAATATTTTGATTCTCAGAAATGATTTCACTCGACCAAATCGCCTCTTTGATGTCAATCAACACTGCACCTAGAAATCCTAGCAGATGCTTTTTCTCGGTGAGTGTGTGCTCCTACATGGAATTCACCGGCCGCCCTGGCTTTATAACAGCATCTAACCATGACACACGAGGCCTCTTACCATAAAATAAGGATCTTAATAGGCACTAGCGCAGTAACTTACTTATTTTACTTTAAAAAGTAGTTAAATTATAAGCTGCTAAACAATAGTCAGCATCTATTATCAATTCACTAAAGTTCTTCCATCACAGTTTGTAAGACCACCCATGAAGGATGAGAAACACACCTGTATTCCTGGGCAGGTTTCTCCTCAAATCATGTTCTCTCTCACCCATTCTCTATCTTCACATGCCATTCATTAAAGCAGAAAAGGGAATGAACGATTACATTTGTACGTCTAACTCAGCATTCTACTAAACTTCCCCTGTGGCATAGTATTTCTTGTGCTTATTTACAAGCTTAGATCTGAAGCTCAGTGAAATAAATAATTTGTACAATGTCATCTAAATAGCAAGTTAAAGGGCATTATAACTGTGATTAAGGCTGATAATACAATTCATACTGCTACTGCCAAATGAACACTCTGTCATATTGTTTTGAAGAACTTACATTTCTCTACAGTGTCATTTCAGTGTTCCCAGGCTGCATATACTTTTCTAATTTGATGTTGTTTCCTTGTGATAAAAGCCATATACAGAGCCTTTCCGTGGGGCTCAAAGCAAGCTAGACAATTATTCCTCCATCGAGCTTTCATTTATAATTTTTTAACTTTTGTAGGTTCTTGAGTAAATACTTGATGAGGGTGTTGAAGGTGTCTTACTTAATAAGTCATAGAAATATTTTCAAATATTTGATTGAAAACATCTGGTGCACCTGGGGCTCTACTACTGAACAACTCACCAGCCAAATTTGGTTCTTTTGTTGATCATTTATTTTTGGAGTTTCATGATGCAAAGATTTAAAGATTGAACTAAAGTTGACCTCTGGAAGCATTCCTATAATAATATAGTTATTACCATAGTTTTTAAAGGTTCATACACCCTAGTTTGGCTTACAGTTTGGCCTGGAGTCTGCTTTTACAGGAAATGTATCTCTGCACTTGGGACTGATTGACACCATAGATGCTGGTCCATGTGAAAGTGCCCCCGATGATGATTGTCCAGAATGAGTGTCTTTGCAAAGGGTTAGGATTAAAACTGGATGAAAAGAAAAGGGGAGCAAATACAAATTGTTCACAAAAGACTAAAGAAAGTTCAGAATACTTTCAGATGCAAGCAATCTACACTCACAGACATACAGAAGAATGTCCAAATTTATAATGTCAAAATACAAATGTTTCTAATTTAAATTCAACTAAGTAAACAATGATAATTCCAGATATTATCATATTCCAAATGTACATACATGTCCTTATCACTTTGAGCATTTATATAAATTTTTCTCCCATAGTCTTAGGAAACTATTATTAGGCAAATTGGCCTTGCCTTGTTGGCAGGAGAGGGAGGGGAGATATTCAACATGTACCATGTAAATAGATATCTTACCATTGTGTGAGCGTAATTCCTTCCCTAGCACATGTCCAATCATAGTTAATCTTAAGAGGTCAATGCTCTAAAGGTACATACTTGTTAAAATTATGTCATTATAACTATGCTTTCTTAGAATTCTATGTGCATAAGTTAAATGCAAACAGTTTTAAATCCCTTCATGGTGGGCACAGCTCAAAACACTCTCGGAAAAAGCTCTGCTTCTGTTTGAAGTATCTCTTAACTCTTTTCAGCATGTCATCTTGGTGGGGGAACGTGTTCATCTTCAGTTAAATATGAACTTTAAAACTTTCTACAAAGGGAGCTTTCACTTACAGAAAATTATAAAATAGAGAGACTCGATCCCATGGCCTGGCATCTTATGTATGTCAAATTCCAAGAACCCTGGTGCTCCTACTCTTTCTCCTGTGGAGAGTATTCTACCACATTAGCCAAGAAGTCAAGAGCCAAAAAGATTCAGTGAGCTAGCTGAAGGAGCTAAGACAGGATAGAAAAACACCTTGCTAGGCCACAGAGGAGGACATTGCAGCCAGGCCTGAAGAGACCTGATAAGCTAGGGTCAGATGGAAGGGGAGGAGGACCTCCCCTATCAGTGGACTCAGAGAGGGGCATGGGAGGAGATGAGGGAGGGAGGGTGGGATTGGAAGGGAATGAGGGAGGGAGCTACATCTGGGATACAAAGTAAATAAACTGTAATTAATATAAAAAAATAAAAATTTAATTAAAAAAGAAAAACATGATTCAGAGATTTTAGTTCTTTTCTTCATTTTCTTCAATCAGAAAACATATTTTGCCAATTATACTCTCAACACATTTCAGAATAATAAAAAACATTCTTGAAAAGTTTAAAACACAATAAGTTTTTTTCCTGGTGGTTAGGAGTCTTTAGAGATATGGTTATTAAAGTGTGTAATTTTATCTTAAAGGATCTCTTATTGACATATGAAGCTATGTGTATATTCCTGCATAAGTGACAGTTATCCTGAAGAAAAATGATTGGCTTTTTTTTTTTTTTTTTTTGAGACAGGCTATCCTCGAACTCACAGAGATCTCCCTGCCTCTGTCTCCCAGAGTGCTGGGATTACAAGCACAGGTCACTGTATCCAGCTAAATTATTGGCTTGGCTTTGTACTCTATCCTTTCAGCCTGGCCATCATGAAAAGACTGAATATACTCAATATTTCCCACACAACCATTAATCATTTCCAGTTCCTCTAATCCATTTCCCCTCTCCTGGAAAAAAAATCAATGTGGCTTTATTTGGGGGGAAACTATGCTCTCTTCACAAATTTGTCTGAGTAAATATCAGTGAAAAGTATCTTGTTCTGCCCTAACCGTGGATGAAACCATAGCCAAGGATAGATCAACTGGAGGCTCTCAAAATTTAGTTCTGTATCTTGAAGTTAAAGGAGAAACAAATACTGAAGACATTGAAGGTGATTCCCTGAGTTAATCTAAGTGAATAGGGTGATGCAGTTTGGTTTCCAAAAACGCTTTTCTCAAAAGAAGAGGACTATTTTTAAAAAGACACAAAAGAGCCATCTAAATGAAATTTTCTTTCTTCCAGCTAGTGATCACAGATTTCCAACCTCAATTTAGGGCTATTTAGAGAGAAGAAAATATGGTTGGGGTCAAAATAAGCCTCCTTCCACATTGAACATGGTGCAACGAGTATATTGAACCAAGGGGAAGGTGGTTTCAGAATTCTCTTAAATTGTATGATGTGCTTTGAATGGACTATCTAGGTTTTCTATTGTCTAGACACATTTATCCTGCGCTAGGCTATCCTTTGAAACATCAGCCATTACATTTCTGGTCAGTTTTTAGGAAGTAATATGTAGATATGTATAAATGATGTGATATTTAACAGTAAGCTCTCTTATATGCTACATATTGTGATAACAAGAGTGTTTCTCAGGGTTGGCTAAAATTGAGAATTATGCAAACAAAGTTACTGTCTTTTGGTGTTTGTGCTCTGTGGGACTTCCATTGCTGACCTTTAACCATTTTTTTTTTCTATCCTACTTTCAATCTGATCCAGACTTTAACCTCTGGAAGAAAATATGTTTTGCTCTAAAGTCCTTCTGCAGAAAAATAAATATAATACCATGATCTATTAACCAAAAGTGAATAGCAACTTACTTCCAGAAGTTTAATCTTCCACCATTAGAAGCATCACTTAAAATCACATTGATGCCACCTTGAGTTATCGAAGCCTGGATAATCACTGATGCAAATCCAGCCACCATGATCCCAACTTGAAAAACATCTGTCCAGACAACTGCCTTAAGACCACCCTTTGAGAAGGAAGTTGGTTAGGATTAATAGTTCTATAAACATGATTATCTATTTGTCTGAATGTAAATGCACCATACTAGATAAAAATGATGAAACATGGAGCTTGGTTAAGAAGTTCATTCAAAGGAGATGATCATGTAGAAAGAACCATTATAGAGAAGAAGATACTTAACCCATCCCTCAAGCAGAGGCAGAGACAAAGATGGAAGATCCTCCCAAAATACACAACAGCCAGTGAAAAAGCAGAAGCTAAAACTACACATGGTGTATTGAATGTAGCCACTTTGGACAGGAGGGAAATGAGGTGAAGAAAGACAACTGGAGTGCTGGAAAGACAATTCAGAGTTAAATTACAGAAGTCCTTGTGTGGGCTAATACTCAGTTTGTACCCAGATAACTATATCATTTGTTAAGATACGGATATTGTTTCACACTAGCCACTGCCACAAGCCTCTTCAGCCTCTATGACCTGGGTTTAAACAGGCTCTGTGAAAGGATCTTGCTTCCTAGAAGACCAAGCCAATGAAAGGTTAATGTAGAGACTGTCAAAGACGGCATGAATTTGCACTGCTGCAATGAGCCTGCATCCACAATGAAGCAGCACCGTGCCTCGGTAGCTGCCGCATGCTTTGTCACCCCGTCTATAGTTAACACACCGTTTCACAAGTCTCTATGCAGGGGCATTATAGAAGCAGATCTGCAATATCTTTGAAAACCACAATAGCCAATCAAAGGTAAAAACAGGGACCTGTGCAATGGTTCAGATGAAAGGAAAATTTCATTATAACCCATATCTAAGGACCAAATGTTCCTTACAAAAGTGTACTGTGAGAAGCCCAGAGAAAAAGAGTGAGTATGAGCAGTCATGCTGCAGCGTGTGGCTACTTGAAATTCCAGTTTTGCAAAGCAAGTAAAGGGGAAATGACCCTCTTCACATACCAGTGTGCAGTAGAATGTGCAGACCACCCCAGTTGCCACCACTGCGCCCCACAGATCAAATCCTGTAACTGTACAAGAAAAGAGAACATGTATTCAACTGTGAAATGTGCGTCAACAAAATCCCTTCTCGAGCATTACCAGGGTGGCACCTAGCTTTGTACCCACTTGCTTAAAACTAGAACCATGTCTCATCAATGCCCCTCAGGCAAGTGGAGTAGAAGGACATGCTGCTTGTTGGTATTCACAAACACCATACAAAGAAACAACACTGGCTAAATGGGATATGGAGTAAAGCATGTATGTTGTAATTAAGCTGAGAAACTGCTGGATTCTTAAAGCAGTTGACCAGACTGAATGGGATCAAAGGGGATTTCCCACTGCTTCCCATTGGTTCATATAAATACGCTATTTCACCAGACCCTGAAATGTGTGTTTTAAAGATAAGACTTGAGGTAGAAAAGTCTATTATATGCTACCAGTTTTCTAGGACGTGGAGAAATATGTTTTTAATGGAAGGATAAATAAAAGCCAGCAGAAAAAAAAATAGTTGCCTATAAAACATAAAGGATAAACAGGCCAAAAAGCAATGAAGCTGTGTTCAAACATATTTCTATTTATAGGTTTGACTTTGGAACCATTATATAGTCTGCATAATTGGAAAGGGGAAAGTTAAGGCCTCATGAAATTAAAAATTAAAAACTAAGCAATATACATAGACATGCAATTCATTCTTCCAAAAGATAGTAAGGGGGAAAGAAGACAGTTGTCCCGAAGTTCCTATACAAATTACTTTTCAGAGTAACCAAATAGTCAACCAAAGAAAGTTTCTTTTTAGGTACGTTCTATATAATCAATAAAGAGGGAATTACAAAATTAGATCATAATGTGCAATAAGGTCTAATAACCAATAAGCCTCAAACTTTTACTATTACCCAAAAAAAGTTCCAAATTTTGACCTGCATTTTAAAGATTATAAGCTCTTCAAGTGATGTTTATAAGAAACATTGAGGGCTCAGGAAATACTCAATGATTCAATATGGGTACAATCAGTAAAATGAAGACCCTAAGAATACTGGCAGGACAAGTAGTGCAGTTTCTTTAATAAATAAGCAGAAATTTAAGTTGGAAAACAGATGAAAGTTAAAAACTAAAGGAGACCTTTAAAAGAACTTCAAACTACATCTAGTAAAAACAAAATGGCAGAAATAAGCAACTCAACAGTTGGTGTGTAAATCTGAAGCCTTAGTGATCAGTAGAGCACACTTCACTTCAAAACCACAGTAGAGGGCAGTCAGTGAGGATGGGACACTAGAAGCTGTCTCCACAAGACCCAGTGAAAGAGAGGGGAAAAAACTAGCTTATTTCAAAGAGAGAAAGAGGAAAATCTGTTGGAAATTGACAAAAAGAATGAGCAAAGAGGTGAAATTGTAGAGAAACAGGACATAACATCCAAAAGAAAAACAGTAAAGCTGAGTGCAGCTCCAAGCAGGCGACTCTTAAGAGGGAAAAGGGAGACAAAGGCTGCAGCTAAAAACCAAGGCATTTGGCCCTGGTGGAAAGAGACTGGTAGGCCTACCCTCAGCGTAAGCCCACAGTTCTGGAAAGCCACAAACATAGTTCTAGAGGCTGCTGAGGAACCACCTTTTGTGATAGAAAGCAGAGAAAAAGGGACAGCGCAGAGGGGCCACCATCGTAGGAGGAAAGCTACTGTTTAAAACTTAGCTGCTCAGGACAGCTTTGGACCTCTGTGTTCCTGTGATTTTATAGAGCATTTGCATCTGTATTGGACAAGTATCCAACGTCTGCCCGAACTACCTTAATTTCAGTAGCTCCTCCCTCAAAAACCTAAGAACAGGTAATGAGCACCTGTCAGGAAGCCCGACTCCAATCTGCCACAGCCTCAGAATGAGAGTTCTAGGAGGCAGTTGTGGAGGGCAGGAGGCCAGAATTAAAAACCAGAAAAGTGCAAGCAAGAGAAGGTTCATCCCAGGCAGTGAAGTATGCAAAGAAGTAGTTCTTCCCTTAGAGCCTGGTAACAGACCTCATGATCTGAAAACAACTAGTTAACAGCCCTGATCCTGACTTTTGTCAGCAAGTAGAACCGCCTATCGGCCATCAGGTTCTCAGCTACAGAGTCCAAGGACTCTGCAGCTCCAGCAGAATCCCAGACGCCTACAGGGCAGGGTGCTGAGTGTTGACTATGTTTTGAAAGTATGAGAACAGATCCGTCTGTTCAGATCTCATGGTTGCGGTGTCGTCTTGCGTTCCCAACACGTTTTGAAGACGCACCTCAGAACATTAGCCGCCTCAGAGGACTCAGACTGCGGAGTGGCCAGCAGAGGCCTCTGGTGTGAGGAAAAAGTGGCAGAGGAGCTACTGAAATGAAGGTGGTTCGGCAGACATTGGATACTTGTCCAATACAGATGTAACTGCTATAAACGATCACAGGAATACAGAGGTCCAGAATTTGAATACCTGCACATTTGGAAGTCTCCAAGATCCAGAAAAAGTCATTCCAATTATTTGTTTTCTAATTTGGCTCCTTGTGCCTCCCCCTGACCTTTTCTCCTTTTTTTTTTCTTTATTTTTACTAATATTTTTACTTTCTTGTGCTTTTTATACTTAGTGTTTATTTTTTATTACCTTTCATGGATTTATATAATTATGTTTACACAGGTTTTAAACATTGGGAAATATTTTGCTTTTTCTTTTGTTAGGAGAAGTGCTGATCTCCAAGTACACTACAGAGCCATGGAAACTAAAGCAATGTGATACTAGCAGGACACCAGACACAAAGAACAATGGGATAGAACCCGGAAAGAAGCCCACACAGCTACGGCCACATGCTATTTAACAAAGGCATCAGAAACATGTTAGAAAACGCAGCCTCTTCAACAAATGGTGCTTGAAAACTGGATAGTGACATATAATACAAGAATCAAAGTAGGGGGCAAGAGAGAGATCTCAATGGTTAAGATCACCGTTCTGCATTCACATTGTGGCTCACAACTGTCCATAACTGCAGTTCCCTGGCATCCAATGTCCTTTTCTGACCTCCACGGGCACCAGGCATACAATGGTACACAGAAGGGAACTAGGAAAGCAAGAGAAAAATCCCAGCACTCAGGGAGACAGAGGATAGCTGTGCATTCAAGCCAGCCTGGTCTACAAAGGGAGTCCAGGACAGCAAGGGCTACATGGAGATAGGGTTTCTATCTTGAAAAACGAAGCTAAAAAGAGAGGACAACGTGTTTATCAAGTGTGGACAAGGCAGGGTAAAGAAGCATATACTTCAGGAAGGACTATTGGGTGAAGCAAGAGGAACCAGCAAGAAGTGGAGCTGGGAAAGAGGAAAGCAAGGGAAAGAGAGATAAATAAGATTATTGTGTGTGTTTACTATATAGACAAAACTCAAGCCATCAAACCTTCATGCAAGTGCTTCTGCTTACTCAGCCATCTCGCTTAGCCCAGGAGTTGGTTCTTTGAAAAGACAAATGGATTGAGAAACCTTAGCCAAGCCAAAAGAAAAAAGAGAAAACCCAAGTTGATAACATAGAGCTAAAAAGGAAGACGTTACAAAAGGAACCAATGAAATTCAGAAAGTTATAGGCATACTTTAAAATCTTGCATTCTACTAAGCTGAAAAATAAAACAAATGAATGAATATTTATAACTTTGGCCTACCAAAGTTTAACCAATGTGAGGTTAATAGTGTAAACAGATCTATAGCAACTATAAACAGTCTACGCCCAGACAGATGCAGGCCAGATTTCTAGAAGGACTTTAAAGAAGAACTAACACCAATCCTCATATCACTCCATAAAACAGTAAATGAAATAAAACTTTCAAACTTACTTTGAAGCCATTGTCACCCTGACACCAAGACAAAATAAAGATATAAAAAGAAAATCACAAACAACCTCCTTCACAAACAAAATTGTAAAATATTAACAATAAAATATTTAAAAGCCAGTTTCAAGAACATAGCAAAAAGATCATTCATCGTGATAAACTTAGCTTCATTCCAGAGATACAAAGATGCTTCAACATACACAAATCAATAAATGGACTCAAGGATTGAAATCAAATGATCACTTGAAGAGATGCAAAAATTGTCTTTGATAAATCCATTACCTTTACATGACTAAAAGCCCTGAGGAGACTAACATGGAAGAAATATATCATTTTTTTTTCCAGGGCTGAAGATGGAACCCAGGGCCTTGCGCTTGCTAGGCAAGCACTCTACCACTGAGCTAAATCCCCAACCCCAAAGAAATATATCTTAACATAACAGAGTCCATATTTGACAAAGCTACAGCCTAGATGGCATATTAAATGGAGCAAAATTCAAATAATTTCTACTAAAATCAGGAAAAAGACAAGGGTTTCCACTCACCACATTCCTAATCATCATAATGTTTAGTGTTACCAAGAACAATAAGACAAGAGAAAGACAACATTAAAATAGCCAATAAATATTTTTTAAAGTTTAACAACCTTAGCCATGAAACAAATGCAAGGAGGTGGATGTCTGAGTTTGAGTCCAGCCTGATCTAAAGCGTGAATTCCAAGACAACCAGGGCTACTCAGAGAAGCCCTGTCTCAGAAAAGAGAGAGAGAATATTGGAGCTCAGTGGGTAAAGAGACTTGCCACCAAGCAAGAAGACCTGAGTTCAATCCTAACAGTAGAAGGAATGAACTGATTCACACAAGTTGCCCCCTGACCTCCACATGGCACCTCTCTCCAACACACATGATGAATAAAACATTAAAAAAAAATAAGAGTTCAAAACTTGTCTCAGTTACATAGCAGAATTTTGGGCTCCATGAGACCCTGTCTCAAAATAACATGAACAACAAAAGGGAAATCCCAAGTAATTCCAAACACTAAGTTGTACTGAACAGCAAGTTTGTTTTGATCATTTCATGAGCTTGGAAACTCAACATCAGTGGTTACCAGAAAAACAAACCACAGTGCAATAATGTATAACACACACTGATTGCTAAAAATGAAAAAAAAAAAAAATAGAAAAGAATGCTAAGTGTTGGAGAGAATGTAGGATGACCT